AAACTGAATAATCATATATTATACAACAAGACGATCGAAAATACTCGATAATACGAGACGTATTGCCTGAAACACCACGAGACCGAAGGTCGAGTGGTGTTTTTTAAGGCAATACGTCGAGATTCGAGTATTTTCGATTGTCGTGTTGTATATGGCTAGACTATTTCATGAATAAAAAATATACATATTTTTAGGATTTTTATATTTTTTTAATAAATTACATTGATTGTTATGGAAACATTCATGGATGTCTCGAAATTAATGAAATGTCAAACAAGCGATAATACAAAGGTTCGTATTACAGCGATAATACAAAGGTTCGTATTATCGTTCTCCATGGTTACGGCTAAATAACCGCTGAAATACTCGCAATTGACGGAAAACCCCGAATTCCTATTGGCTGTTAACGAAATGAATGAAATAGTCATATATATACTTTTTTCATGAGGATATATTAAATAGAGTTCTCAGTCTTGTGTGTGGTATTTATTTCTTACAGGTCTTTATGTTGTGGATCATAAAGATATTGATATCCATGTATCAATTCTATTAATTTTAAGTCAATTTGGTCCACATTTGACTCCATTGAAATAATTGTCGAAACAATAACACACAACAACCGTAACACGTTCGCTGCCGAGCGACTCCGTTAACCATGGTTTAGATACGAGTTAACTCGTAGTCGGCAGCGAACGTGTTAATACAATAAAATACAAAACCTAACTGACCTAACCTCAATTTATAAAATAAAACAAAACACTGCTATATTACAAGGACACAAAAGAGTAAAGTGCGCATGCGTCACGTTACGACCGATTGTTTTAGCTTTAAGAAGTTAAAACTTGGGCAACTCTTAGTCGTAAGGTGTTGTATGAACAGTACTACTATAACACAATACCGTAACTTTTCACTCTTACGACTATGCCAACAATTAAGACTAAAACACGTTGCATGAACCCACCTTAAAAGAGCGTGAAATGCTCTTTCAAACAACACCAAAAATATTCAAATCGGTTAATGGTCCAGGAGATATTAAAATGTAAACATTTGAAAACGCATTGGCCTCCCCTTTTCTTATTATGACAGATATGAGAAATATCGCAAAACAAAAGCGATGCGGTCCGATTATCCAAGCTACTAAATGATGCTGTCAAAGTTATAGCTCATCGTCTAACTTTCTGAGATAGCGGAAGTTTTATGTTTCTCAATGGCAGTTATAATTTCCAGCTATTTCTCTTGCCCACTTTGCTTATAAGGATTTTTTTTCCCAAACCTCTAGGCCTTACCGTTGTCGAGATACAGCCGCTCCGTACGCTTAACGGGACACCTGTACAAATCGATCACTTTTCCGGGAAACATCTCAACTGATATTAAGAAAATTTAAATAGAAATAAAATAACGGTATCTTTCAAAAACAAAAACACTCTACAGGACATACTAATTAACAATAAAGAAAAAACATTCATCCTATCAAAGAGCGGACATGCTACAATGCGACTCCTGCTCCCCACCTACATTGGCCAAACCGGAAGAAGCCTAGGAACAAGATTAAAAGAATATAAAAACATAATACTCCTACACCAACTAGTGTCAATTCAATCGACAACTACCTTTCTTTAATTATAATTCTAGTTTATCACTATCTTATTATTCATTAATTTACGTTTACCTTTTGTAAAGGTTTTCTGATGAAAATCGATTTTAATTTTGGTTGTAGAACGATTTTGAAATGTATATAGGTAAATTATATAGGTTATTATATACATTATATACGAAATGTATATTGTAGGATTTCTACTGATGATGGGCAGGACCCGAAACCTGGTATAGAAAAATAAATTAAACATATACATCATCTCAGTATAATTTTATTCAAAACCTACTGACTAATTAAATAATTCCCGAATTATTACAATCTTTCGATTCTTAAGGAATAATCCGATTCGCAATCTGTTGGCGGCGAATCGATGGCCATTCTCGATGATTGTAACCTTAAGGGGCTCTCTGTGAATGAGTTTCTTGTTTTAGAAGAATTTGATCGTGTCTCTAAGGACCTTGATTAATCGGGGGTTTCTCCACGAGACCTCAACAATCTTGAAGTTCTATCCGTGCTTAAAAAAATTAAATATATTAATGTATGTATTAATTTATTAATCAAGATAAGATTAAATATAGTATATAATCAATAAAGGTATTTAATTTGAATTATTTGACTCTTTTTAATTAAATAGCCGTACTTTTCGGATTTCTCCTCGTTCATTGTTCACCGAGATAATTTGAAAACGGTGAGATCATCGGGTAAAGCAAATAACGGTTTTGATGGAGTGCTTTACAATCTTTTTTTAATGATACACACGTGGTGGTGGAAAAATGGAGATGTTACATCGTTGGGAGAGGTAAAACTGGATCAAACGACGACTCACCTGATCTGGTTACAAAGGTATGACGACACGATGGCTGGCAACATTCACCTTACAACAGAATAACATTAGCAATAAGCATTAGAATCAACTTAGATANAAACTAAATTTTAACATATACAGAAAACCTACTACCACAGATGCCATTATCCCAAAAAACTCATTTAATTGTAACAGTCACAAAGAAGCTTCATTTCGTTTTATGTTCGACAGATTATTCAAAATACCCCTACAATTCTCCGATTTCACCACCGAAGTTAAAAAAATTTTAAACATAGGTTTCAATAATTGCTATAGTTTCTCTGACATTCAGCAGATATACAATAAAGTTCATAAATCCCATATTAACAAACTAATATACCCCCATTTTTCAGCCCCTTCCACTTTCCACGCAGTACCCTATATACCTTCACTTCAGCATGGTATCGGTCAAGGTCTGAAAGAGTTTAATATCAACCCCGTTTTTATCTTTGATCAAAAAATTGGTCAAATCTTGAATAATACTAAACCCAAGATTGCCCTCGGTGCGATGAGCGGAGTCTATAGCGTTGCCTGCTCCGACTGTGGCAAGCTCTATGTAGGTCAAACTGGCCGTAATTTGATGGTCAGGTTCAGGGAGCACATGAATAAGGAAAACTCAGCCATATATAAACATTTAAAAACTGAAAATCATAACACCTCCATCGCTTTACCCTTTACATAGGTAAATTAATTTCAGATATTGCTAATGTTCATTTTTATAATATTTCTCTGCTTTTATAATGTAGCTTTCATAGAATAATACCACCTTCCCACGCATGCGCCGACGTCTTTTGCGACCTTAAAACATAACCCCTATCTTAAAATTCGTTAGTCGTCTAAGCGCTTCACGCCAGATCGTACTCTTTTAATTTCTTTTTTTTGTTAATTTTTGTTATTTTTGTTAATAACATTAATTTTTGTGTTTTCTTACGATATTTTGTTGAATCATATTCTTTTACAACGAAAAATAGGTAAATTTTACTAATTCTCTAATAATTTAAATTAATTACGCATTTTTGCAGTTAACCTTCAAATAAAACAGGTTTTAGGGAACAAACACGCTCTTCAAGCAGTTTCCCTAAATTATAACACAGCCATTTGGCTTTTTAACTTTTTTTTTATATAAAAATAAAACAAAATAATGGATTTAGCTCCTGAAATCGCTTGGTGTCCCTCCGATTTGTTTCCCCTTACGATTGCTCTTCTATATTGACGGTAATTAGATTTAACTTCTGTAAACATGTTATTATTTTTTCTATATTGTAAACTCTTTCAGTCGTGCCTGAGGAAGGTTTAATTGTAAAACCGAAACAGCTGTAGCACCGATTTGCCAGTTTAAATAAACTATTTTTCGTCGTACATTCAACCCCATGTTAATTTAATTTAAAACCGGAAGAAGCCTAGGAACAAGATTAAAAGAATATAAAAACAGCTCAAAGACGAACTTTAGAAGACACCTAAAATGTTCATCATTTCAATGAAGATAAAAACAATACTCCTACACCAACTAGTGTCAATTCAATCGACAACTACCTTTCTTTAATTATAATTCTAGTTTATCACTATCTTATTATTCATTAATGTACCTTTTGTAAAGGTTTTCTGATGTAAGTTGATTTTAATTTTGGTTGTAGAACGATTTTGAAATGTATATACTAAATTATATAGGTTATTATATACATTATATACGAAATGTATATTATAGGATTTCTACTGATGATGGGCAGGACCCGAAACCTGGTATAGACAAATAAATTAAACATATACATCATCTCAGTATAATTTTATTCAAAACCTGCTGACTAATTAAATAATTCCCGAATTATTACAATCTTTCGATTCTTAAGGAATAATCCGATTCGCAACCTGTTGGTGGTGAATCGATGGCCATTCTCGATGATTGTAACCTTAAGGGGCTCTCTGTGAATGAGTTTCTTGTTTTAGAAGAATTTGATCGTGTCTCTAAGGACCTTGATTAATCGGGGGTTTCTCCACGAGACCTCAACAATCTTGAAGTTCTATCCGTGCTTAAAAAAATTAAATATATTAATGTATGTATTAATTTATTAATCAAGATAAGATTAAATATAGTATATAATCAATAAAGGTATTTAATTTGAATTATTTGACTCTTTTTAATTAAATAGCCGTACTTTTCGGATTTCTCCTCGTTCATTGTTCACCGAGATAATTTGAAAACGGTGAGATCATCGGGTAAAGCAAATAACGGTTTTGATGGAGTGCTTTACAATCTTTTTTTAATGATACACACGTGGTGGTGGAAAAATGGAGATGTTACATCGTTGGGAGAGGTAAAACTGGATCAAACGACGACTCACCTGATCTGGTTACAAAGGTATGACGACACGATGGCTGGCAACATTCACCTTACAACAGAATAACATTAGCAATAAGCATTAGAATCAACTTAGATAAAATCGATAACATAGACAAAAATCATTAGAATCAACGTACATATATATTAAAAATCATTGAAATCAACTTAGATATTAAAAATCATTAGAATCAACTTACATATTAAAAATCATTGGAGTCAACTTACATATTAAAAATCATTAGAATCAATTTAGATATTAAAAATCATTAGAATCAACTTACATATTAAAAATCATTAGAATCAACTTACATATTAAAAATCATTAGAATCAATTTAGATATTAAAAATCATTGGAGTCAACTTAGATATTAAAAATAACTATCTACATTATTCTGGTTTACTTTTAACGTTAACAGATAAATAAATATTTACGGAAACCTTATTTTCCAAAATGATAATATACGATAACGTTTTGCTATCTATAACACATCTCTTTCCATTAAATGTAATTTGATAGCACTTATCATAATTCAGAAACCAATAGTTTTTGAAGCAATAGTCTTGGTGACGTTCCAGATCCTCCTCAAGTATCAAGCTGTGGGATATGGAACTAATCCTGGAAAAATTTTACAGTAACCCGCATAAAGCAAAAAGTTGGAGTGGCTATTCTATTAACAATTTTCTTTGTTATAAAATACAGCAGACGAGAAACTTATTACACGGTGGTAAGAACAGCTCATTCTCTGTGTAAATCCTAAAATGACCAGCGGAAACTGGGACACTTAACACCATCCCATTTCTGTAATAGTCCATTAACCTTTCCTCCAGAGGTGAAATATCTTGGTGTTATTTTCCATTTCGCTAGGGTCGTATTGCACGACTGCTCAGGCTGAAATAACTGCTATAAGTATAGCAGCTAATGTGATCATCGACACCAAAAAAAGTTGGTAATAACGTCATAATCTGCACTGATTGCAGACATGCTATGCATCGAACTACATCAACGCTTGTGAAATCTTGTCGGCAATCACTTGAGATAAAGTCACCGGCTTCCTCTGAACCGTTTGTACCGCTAACTTTTAATACAGCATGAAAGCTGATCAACTCCCCCTCCCATCGAGATTTTGCGATAGATGGGTTGAGACTGCAGAATTGTGTGTCTTTGCATAGACTTTGGTCTACCTTGATCGGACTACTCAGTTCCTGGGAAAATCAAAAAGTGACTTGAGACTCCTCATCCACTTCCTGACCGGACACTGAGGGTTACGTAAGCACATGTTCTACATGAAGCTGGAAAACACATCCCTTTGCAGAGGATGTGAAATGAAAGACGACACGGTAAGTCATGTTGTTTGTGACTGTCCCAACCTCGCGTACTGAAGGGAAACCATTTTTCGCGTACAATTTCGAGCATAAGGAACATACCTTTTGTTCTATATTGCCATCTATAAAAACCTTGGGCTGGTTTTCTGACCGCTGAATGAACTGTAAATTGGAGGTTGCTTGCAACCGAGGCGTTACAACATGATTATGATTAGTATTAGTATATGATATTAGTTTTAGGTTAATCTAATGTTAATTACTGAGCCTTGTCCGCAAGCAACCTTAATTGGTTGATTAGGTCTAAATGGGTTAAAAAGGCTGAGTTGGGAATTTTGCTGGGTTATACTGAAGTTGGGTATAGAGTTTTAGTCAATAACAGAATCATTGTAGCTAGACATATTGATGTTGTTGAGGAGAATGTTAAATGCTTAGGTTTAGATACAAACGGAACTGACAATGAATTTGAAAGTAATTATTCCAGTGATTCAGAAATACAAGATGAAAGTAGAGTACACCAGTGAGTATAAACGGTGACACCGAAGTTGGAGAACTTCAATTAATGCAGCAGAGGTACAAAAACCAACACCAAATAATCCTAATTGCACATCCAGTACAGCTAAAAGAAAACCTAGAAGGCTTGTGAGGAGTTATTATTAGATATACTACGTTAAAAGAGGACGGAGGAAGTGAATGAAGGTAAATATTTTCTTTTATTGCTACTTCCAGCATTTAAGAAATTCTACAAAGATCAGAATTTTATGGCTAAGGTAGAAGTTATGAACGTAATAAGGCTCGCCCGCAGATCAAAAAACGCAACCTCTATTCCGTGTGCTGCGAGAACTGATCAGCTAGTGTATCTACCTGGACCATGCAGCTCTTCTGCTAGTCCATCAACTCAAGATGCATTACCGTTTGATCTATGATGTCGTTTTTTGTACTTGAGTGTGTTCCTACTTGAGCGTTACAGACAATCTTTCCGGTATTCGCTCTACTAAGTGTATACGAGTATTTAGATGTACAATTCAATCTTGAACTANCTCCAGAGGTGAAATATCTTGGTGTTATTTTCCATTTCGCTAGGGTCGTATTGCACGACTACTCAGGCTGAAATAACTGCTATAAGTATAGCAGCTAATGTGATCATCGACACCAAAAAAAGTTGGTAATAACGTCATAATCTGCACTGATTGCAGACATGCTATGCATCGAACTACATCAACGCTTGTGAAATCTTGTCGGCAATCACTTGAGATAAAGTCACCGGCTTCCTCTGAACCGTTTGTACCGCTAACTTTTAATACAGCATGAAAGCTGATCAACTCCCTCTCCCACGAGATTTTGCGATAGATGGGTTGAGACTGCAGTAGGTGTCTTTGCATAGACTTTGTTCTAGCTTGATCGGACTACTCAATTTCTGGGAAAATCAAAAAGTGACTTGAGACTCCTCATCCACTTTCTGACCGGACACTGACAGTTACGTAAGCACATGTTCTACATGAAGCTGGAAAACACATCCCTTTGTAGAGGATGTGAAATGAAAGACGACACGGTAAGTCATATTGTTTCTGACTGTCCCAACCTCGCGTACTTAAGGGAAACCATTTTTCGCGTACAATGGCCCCAAATTTCGAACATAAGGAACATACCTTTTGTTTTATATTACCGTCTATAAAAACCTTGGGCTGGTTTTCTAACCCTTGAATGAACTGTAACTTGGAGGTTGCTTGCAACCGAGGCGTTACAATATGATTATGATATTAGTATTAGTATATGATATTAGTTTTAGGTTAATCTAATGTTAATTACTGAGCCTTGTCCGCAAGCAACCTTAATTGGTTGATTAGGTCTAAATGGGTTAAAAAGGCTGAGTTGGGAATTTTGCTGGGTTATACTGAAGTTGGGTATAGAGTTTTAGTCAATAACAGAATCATTGTAGCTAGACATATTGATGTTGTTGAGGAGAATGTTAAATGCTTAGGTTTAGATACAAACGGAACTGACAATGAATTTGAAAGTAATTATTCCAGTGATTCAGAAATACAAGATGAAAGTAGAGTACACCAGTGAGTATAAACGGTGACACCGAAGTTGGAGAACTTCAATTAATGCAGCAGAGGTACAAAAACCAACACCAAATAATCCTAATTGCACATCCAGTACAGCTAAAAGAAAACCTAGAAGGCTTGTGAGGAGTTATTATTAGATATACTACGTTAAAAGAGGACGGAGGAAGTGAATGAAGGTAAATATTTTCTTTTATTGCTACTTCCAGCATTTAAGAAATTCTACAAAGATCAGAATTTTATGGCTAAGGTAGAAGTTATGAACGTAATAAGGCTCGCCCGCAGATCAAAAAACGCAACCTCTATTCCGTGTGCTGCGAGAACTGATCAGCTAGTGTATCTACCTGGACCATGCAGCTCTTCTGCTAGTCCATCAACTCAAGATGCATTACCGTTTGATCTATGATGTCGTTTTTTGTACTTGAGTGTGTTCCTACTTGAGCGTTACAGACAATCTTTCCGGTATTCACTCTACTAAGTGCATACGAGTATTTAGATTTACAATTCAATCTTGAACTACGGCCAGTATTATAAAATTGGCCATTAAATAGTCTAGCTATGCTATATATAGGGTCGCTGATAAAGGGATAATCCCAAAAACACATGCGATGTCAGTAGTGTCCATGTTGAAATTTAAGACCACAGCATTTATCCAGTCGATAATGCGTGCTTGGTCTTAATTACATATATAGTCAAAGACTATATATTGCGCCTGTATTATTAGAGCCTCTTCAGCATATTTTCAATTTAATAATCAAAAATTCTGAATTCCCGAAAATTTGGAAATTGAGCAGAGTTTGCCCTGTTTTTAAGAAAGGTGATAGATGCTGCGTAACAAATTATCGACCTATAGCCATCATAAATAATTTTTCCAAGCTTTTTGAGCAGATTGTAACTCTTAAAATCGACAGCCACCAATCTACTCAGTTTCACTCAGTACGTATCGAATGCATTAGACTGTCGAGAGCAGGTGGATGTGATATACACCGACTTTTCTCGGGCTTTTGATTGCTTGGATCATGATTTCTTGGCCGAAAAGTTGTGGAG